CACGGCCACAGTGGTGTTCATGGCCTCGGCCGCGATCCAGCCCCTGTTCTGCTCGAGCACTGGTTTGCGCTCCACTTTGGTCTCAATGGTGAGCGCGTGGTTCGGGTCGCGACTCAAGTCCAACACGATCTTCACGTTCCGCACATTGGCCTCGGCTTTCGTCTCGAAGGACACGCTTTTCGGCGATCTCTGGAAGCGATTCGAAGACATTCTGAAATCGGCTTTCATTCCATTCTGATTGGAGTGGAGCTCGAGGTCGGACTCGAAGAGCGGCTGCGCGGTCTCTGACGTCACGAATTGGGTTTTGGCGCGCATTTGCTTCTCATTGCGCGCGAAGTCCGTCTTCAGGTTCATCCACCGATTGGACGGGAAGTAGAGCTTGAGGGCGGAGTCCACGGAATGGGCGGAGCGGGCGGTGATCACGTGATCGAAGCCGATTTGGTGCGAATTAATGGACACGAGGAACTGATTGCGGACTCTACTGCGCACACTCTGACCGGTGGTCAGCGCGAGCAGAGAGTCGCCGTCGCGCTTGTCCTGCAGCTGTTCCATGAGAGACGCCTTCAGCTCGAGATTGGTTCCCATTTTGGTGATGGAGAGCCACGCCTTCTCCACCGGAATCAGCGAATAGGCGTTCTTGGCTGAGAGTCGCCGTCGCGCTTGTCCTGCAGCTGTTCCATGAGAGACGCCTTCAGCTCGAGATTGGTTCCCATTTTGGTGATGGAGAGCCACGCCTTCTCCACCGGAATCAGCGAATAGGCGTTCTTGGCGAAGATGACGTCACTCTTGATGTCGACGCAGTTGACGTCATTCTGGGCGCACACTTTGATGAAGACTTTCCTCTCGTTTCTCGCGATCTGTTGCGAAGTGAACGTCGCGTGCATTCCCGCGAAGTGCTGGCCTTTGGCCGCGAACTCGTAGTTCAGCGAATCGGCGGTGAGAGAGGACTTGAGCGCCGCCGACGCGAACTCCGCCGCGTGTCTCTCAATGAGCGCGCGTCCGCTCCAAACGCCCGAAGACTGTTTGCCAGTGATTTGGATCGCTATTAATGGTTTGGAGTCGTATTTCACGGAACTCTCGATTTCAATGTCTCGCGAATTCACTTTCAGTTTCAGTTTTGATTCCATTTTCGGCGCAAAACTCGATTCCAAGCGAAGAATTCCTTCCAAACCTTCCGAAACAGATTTTCCCGACTTTTTGGCCAAAAAGTCGAATTTCCGCAAAGAGTCCAAATCCAAAATGGCGGCCATCTCTTCCGGCGCGACTGTAATGGTGGCGCGAATCGACGGAATTCTGTCCGCATTCGACTTCAGCTCAAAGTCCGCCGAATTCTGGCCAATCTTCGCGCGCGCCTCCAACTGCTTGCCGTTGCGCGACATCGCGTTCGCCGTCATCTCCTTCTCGTCCACATTCACCGCGATATTCAGCGTCTGTTCGCCGATAGATGGCGTCTCGACGACGAACGCCGCCAACACTTTGCGCTCATTGGTCGTCCGTTGCGCGACATCGCGTTCGCCGTCATCTCCTTCTCGTCCACATTCACCGCGATATTCAGCGTCTGTTCGCCGATAGATGGCGTCTCGACGACGAACGCCGCCAACACTTTGCGCTCATTGGTCGGGTCGCGTCTCACGTGACCGGAAGCCACGAACTGCTGACCAATCGACGTGCGGATGGCTTTCAGTTCGGCGAAAATCTCTGCGTTTCTGCGCCGAAGCGAAGAATGTCTTTCGCTGAACGAGATCTTCACTTCGAGGTCGGGATTCTTCGGAGCCGTCGTTTCCATGGAGACCACTGTCTCCCTCTGACCGCTGGCCGCGTTCTCCGCCGACTTGGCGTTCAGTTTCGCCGCGAACTTCAGCGCCTGTCCCTCACTGTAGAGGGCGTTGCATTGCATCTCTTGACCGGTGATCACGTGTTTCATCTGCAGTTTCATCGAATCTCTCTGCGGATTGTATTTCGGCCGATAACTCAGTGTCCAGTCGTGCGGACCGGCGATCAACGCGTTCTCCGCCATCCTTGACTCCAATCGCAACTCGTTTCCCGCATAGGCGGCCGACACGGCGGACACGAACACCTTCTTCGCCCACGAGTCGCCCTCTCGGCGGGACTCGACGTCCAGAACTAATCTCTGGTTCGGATCCTTCTCTTTGTCCCACGAGAAGTCCGCGTGGAAGCCGTTCTTGTCGTTCGCGGCGATTGAGGCCAGAATGTGTCTTCCGTTCCGCAGTTTCGACCGGAAGTCAATGTCCGCCGACTTGCGGCCCAAATCGAAGCCCGACTTCATCGCGAATCTCGGGATCTCGACCTCCACGGCGTGTGAATGGCGTTTGGCGTCGATTCTCGCGATAATATTGGCCAACAATTGGTTCTCGAAATCGGTTTTCGACTCGAAATTCACTTCTTTTTCGTCGGAATTCACTTTGAATTGCGATTTGTGTTCAAAATCGCGAGTTTTTAACTGAATTTTCGCCGATTTTTGCGAAGGATTTGCCGATAGTTTGGATTCAATGATTGGGGAATTGATTTCGAAATGCGATTCCGAATTCGAGTCCAAATTCAGCTCTGAATTGATGTCCAAAATGTTCTTTCGGTCTTTCGTCGTCTTTGAGATCACTTTCAGTCCATTCGACGTCTTTTTGGACGTAATTTCTGTCTTGTGTTCGAACGGCACAACATTTAACTCGAAATTCGCTCTTCTTTTCGGTTCGAACTCAAAGTTCGCCAAAGAATTCGGAGAAACGAACGAAAAGTGAGATTTTTGGTCTGAAATCGGAGTTTGCGTTAAAAAGGGAATAAATGTCTTATTTATTGCCGAAATTACCGGAAATTGGAGTCAAATATGAGTCGATTTTCGCCACATTTCGTCCCGAATTGTCTTCCGTTCGCGACTTTATGTTCAGCGCCTTGTCGTCCATCTGGATGTCCGTCACGTGACTGTACTTCGGGTGCTTCGACTCGAACTGCAACATCCGCTGTCTTCCGCCGAACGGCTGGATCTTCAACTTCGCGTTCACTTCCGGTCCGAACTTCAAGTCCATCGAAGACGGAATCGAAGCGTCCAAATGGTTGTACCGCGCGTTCAACGCCATCAGCGGCTGCTTCTGCTGACCAGCGGTCAAGCGGTCAGTGCGCGACACCACAGAGTACTGTCGTTGGCGCGGATTGGCCTCCAGTTCGGTCACGTGACTGTACGGGTAGTAGAAGTCGGGCGAACCGTCCAATTGGAGGCGCACTTTGGGAGTGGTGGGCGAGTAGTGGGCGTTCACCTCGAAGGGCGTGGTCTTCACCTGGAACAGGGTCTCCCTGAGGGGGGCGTGTTTTGCGATGACAATCACGTGATCGTTGGTTCGCTTCAACAGAGTCTTGGAGTCCAAACCCAATTCACTGCCACCCCATTGGCCGGCAGTCACGTGATCCAAGTGGTGGCAGTTGTACTCGAATTTCGCGCTCTTCGCCGGCGTTGCGCTCATCTGAGAGGTGAAGAGTGGACTCACGAGACGAACGGTGGACTCATTGTTGAGATCGCGGTTCAAAATGGCGTTCAAATCGAAGACTGAATTTCCGTTTCTTTTGTTCTTCGATTCGATTGTCACTAAAAATGAAAATAAAAGTTGAGAAAAAAATCACAAAATGAGAGAATATTTCATACTTTGGTTCGAATTCCACATGAGTTTGGAATTGGTGTCGAATTTCGGCGCTTTTCCCGACAATCGAATGAAGGGTTCGTTCGAAGAGTGCTTTCCTTCGAAATCGAATTGATATTCGTTTCCGAACTTGGATTCCATTGAATGCAAACCGATGTCTCGATTGTATCGATAATCGAACGCTTGGATCGGTTCGCGATTCAAATCGGATTTCGACTGAATTCTCAGCGCTTTTGGCGAGAAATCGAATTCCGATTTGTGCTTCAAATCGCCGAAAATCACTTCCAAATCGCCGTTTCTTCGGCCGCCGTTCACGACATCCGTATTCATCACAATTGAGGACTTCTTGAGCGGAAAGTCGAGCGAAAGGAACGACTTTTTGTTGCGATTCAGTTCCGAATCGAACGAAAGAATGGGTTTTCCTTTCATTTCGGTTTTCGACTTGAATTCGATTCGAGTTTTCGGTTCGAAATTCAGAACCGAATTGTGTTTCCAATCGTTTCGCGCGCTCTTCACGTCCAGAATTGCGTTTCTCTTATCCGAAATCAGATCCAAATCCAGTCTTCCGTCAAACGGCGCCGAAGTTATGACGACTCGCGACGGAGTGGTGCGCGAGACGTGCGAATCCAGCTGTGGATCGGATTAGCGTTGGATTAGTATTACTATTGGGATTAGGATTGAGAATAACTCACGGAAAAGATGTTTCCATTCGCGCCCTTCGTCTCCGACTTGAGCGCAAACGACAGTTTCGGAACAAACTCGACGTTCGTCACGTGATTGATGGCGTGTTTCGGGTAATGGTACAGGTCTTCGCGGCAGACGCCGCGGCTTATGCCTGAGTCGCGGTGAAACCTGTGGTTTATGCCGCAAAGCTTCAAGTGAGCGCTCAGCGACAGTGCACTGTCAGCCGACAGCTACAGCTTCTAGCCGTTTCCGTTTGCGTTGAACTTCGACTTCAACTCCAAGTCATTCCTCGAGAGCCGCAGAAGACCGCCGTGTCTGTACTCGCGGCCGTTTTCGCGCACTTTGGCGTCGAACTCGTGGTGGAACTGGCGGTCATTGCTCTTGATCCTGTAGTCGTACTCGAGGTCCGCCTTCTGGCCCTTCTGCCACTGCAGCGACGTCTGGCCCTTATATTCGCCGTTCTTCTCCTCGCGCAACACGTCCTTGTATTGCATGTCTCGAGACGCCGTCTTCAGCGTGGCGTCCATCGTGAGGTGGAGCCCGCGCGCGCTGTGCACGCACATCAGCTTCCAGCGGGAGTGCAGCAAGACGAAGGAAGGGCACGCCAGAAACGGCTGGTGAAGGTGCTTCATGAAGCCCGGCGAGAAGCGCAGAAAGCGCGCGAAGTGGTCTGCGTTCGCGCGCAGCTCGTAGTTGATGTTGAGGGGCGTGATCTCCACGTCCAGCGTGTTCTCCAGCTTGCGCTCCTCCCCGCTGACCTCGCTCAGTTTGGTCACGTGCAACACGTGCACCTTGGAATTCAGGTTCTGTCGCCACGCGACCGTCAGCTCGTTCTCCATGTGTTCCGTGCCGAAGGCGTTGTCTAACATGCGGTTTACCTTCAAGTCAAAGCCCTTGACTCATCTCCAGTCAAGCGGCTTGCGTCTGTAGAAGCACTCGCAGCTGACGCAGTCCAAGACGTCGAAGCGGCTGTGTTTCACACTTTCCTTGCGCTGACTCTTCACGCGGTACTCGACGGTGAGGTCGGAGGTCACGTGTTTCACCCCTTTGTCGACCAAACCGTTGACTCGGACCTCAATTCCCGGCATTTGCAACGAGAGGTCGGAAGAGAGTCGCAATTCGTTCGACTTTTTCTCGCCTAAAACACAACAGTATTAGCATTCAGTCACGTGACTGCCCTTCCCTCCCCCGCCTACCTTCGCGGACGAACGATCCCTTGAGGAACTGCTTCTGATTGCCCTCCAGATTGATCTGCAGCTGATTCTTCCTTCCCTTCGCCACCGAAACCGAGCCCTGCATTGAAATCGGTTCCGACTTCGGCGACAACTGGATTCTGATTCGCGGCCGGAATTCCCGCTTCTGACCTCTGGTCTGACTCTCGAGTCCCGCCTCGAAGGCGAACACCTTCTTGGCCTCGTTCT